GCTTGAAAACAAGACTGATTGGGTTTGTGTAAATATAACTGAAAAATTCTCTCAGTCTTTAAAACACATTCTACCTTTTCTAAAGAAAAAGTAAATTAGTAACCCATAAATTAATATATGCCTGCAACTGGAATTCGATAGTACCTTTATGCCTGTTACTCAGCGACAGAAAAATTATTCTACTTTATGAATACAAAAATATGATTGACAGCTGATTTCAAGACTAAAGCAACAAAAAGGTAGAAATATACAGAAAAGGGATGAGGTAGCCTTTTGCTGTAAACAGAAAAACAAAATCTGGTCTGTTTTACGATATCAAACATACCATACATCATTGCATGTGCCAACTTCATAACCAAAAAAAAATGGATTATCATGGGTACATAAGCCGTGGGTACAATAAAACAACTCTACCATTATTATTTTTATACAAAAATAACAAAATACGAAAAAGACATCATAAATCTGATTATCAGAAATGTAGGACTATGTAAAGCTCAGAGGTAGTTACTAATAATAGCAGTATGTAAATATAGATGTAGATACCAAGCTCTAAAACTATTTGGTTTGTTCAGAGTACTTTCTAGTATGTCTTCAGTACTTAATCTGCAAATAAAAATAAACCTACTTGGTATATTCCCTGAGTAAAGTTCTTTGTCCTGAGATACACTTTGGAGTAATAATGATCATAATATCACAATATACAAAAATACAAAACCAATCTTTTGTCTCTCTGATATGTTTGGTCTGTGCTCTTAGAAGTTCACTGTGGTGCACTAACAGAATTCTGCACTGGAAAGCTTCACAATCTTGCCAATGCTTTTCAAAATGCACCCGCAAAACTTTTGGGTTTCAGAATTGGGTTACTGAAAGTCTGATCTCAGCTCTGAACTTTTCCATTGTAAACAGGGAATGTCCAACTAAGGAAATATTCATGTTTTCTTCATTCAATAAGGTCAAGAAACTTTGGTTTAGCATGTCAAAGTGACTTGCAGCTTGCATTTTCTTCGTTGTTTCTTGCCTAATCTTTTTTTATATAAAAAGACATATATATTGTAGATTAAGCAATGCCACTCTGATTTGTCTATACACTTTTAAATAAAGAAACAATCCTTACATTATGTAAGCATACATTTCTCGATAGGTACAACACATTCAATATCGTCACGTTTCAGATTATGGGAAGGTTTGCTGTATTCTGACATCAAAACAGCATCGGTACAACCTGCATCTCTTCAATTACAAACACTTTTCTTTGTGGGATTCAAGTGTTTAAAATAAACTATCTCATCACATTTAGGCAGTTTATACTTGTCTGTAATATACACACTGAGCAGCAGTATCATTCCTCACACTCAGGATATGGAAACCAACAATCCCTTCACCATGATAAAGAGCCAAAATGTTAACCACACCTAATTTATCACACTTGTATTGTCCAGTTAATGCCTACCAGATTCCAATCTGGCCAACATCGTACACTTTGAAGTTTCGTTCAGGATCAGCTTTCACATGAACTGATGCCTCCAGGGTTATTTTTGAAGGGTTAAGCTAAATGGTCTCTGTTCCCCCGGAACTTGTACAAACAATCTGCCTATGGGAAATATATGGTCACATAATGGCACATGACCTGACTGCTGTGAAGGTGCCATTTTGTTTTAAAAGACTTGTTATGGATCATCTTTCTCCCTCTCCCCCTCTCTCTAATCTAATTTCAATCGCAAGCTCAGCATGGTAAAGTTATCCTCCCAGTTTAATATTTAGAACAGAGATAGTGATTCAAGCCTTCTTTTAAGTGATACAGCCTTGCACTGAGACATATTTATCGCTGTGCAATTTGCAAAGACATTTGAGTGTTCTCAGTAACATTACTATGAATACATGGAAATGTCATCTAAACAGCAGTTCAAAGGAGCAACAGGCATCCCATTCCCATTAACTATAACAAGATGCCAAGGGCATGTTAGTTCTTGACCTCAGGTTGTTGCACATTCTTCCCCGTTTTCCAAAGAACTTCTAGTGAAATTAGTAGCATGATTAATAGTGGGAAGTAAAACTTGACTTTTTAAAATAAACCCTCAGAGCATTCAGGATCAATAAGTAAAGATTGTTAAGGACCACGCATACCCACTTGCATTTAAGTAAATGCCTAAACCTTCCAAGAATTGTGCAGTCAATGCATCAGATGATATGTTATCCTCTGAATTTCTATCTTCTTCAGCCACCATGAATTGAGATCAGTGATTCAGAATGAGCTTTCCCACTTTATTTCACAAATTGTGCCGGAAAGTGATGTATTTGTATTTATATAATATTGTCAATATGCAAAAAAGCCAACAAAATAGCTGGTCTGAAATATGCTTTTAGCTGAAAAATCTTGGGCCAGTAAGTGCCTTCTGGAGGGCATCATTTCAAGGTGTTGACAAAGGGCAACTCATGCAGCTTTATAAAGCAGAAGTGTAGGAAATACATTAAAACGTCTGTCAGTTAGTAGCTCAGGTACATAAAAAATTAATGACTAGATCAAATGAACTAGAGAGCTAGTACAGTATTACACAAACTAGTGTTCAAGAGGGCTAAGTGTGCATTGAAATGGGGTACCAATCAAAGTCAGTCTCCTTGTTTGTGAGAACTTAAAAACTAGGGGTGAAATTCTTAGTCATATAAGTGATCAGAAAGAACCAAGCTCTACCTTATTGTATTTGTTGGCATTATAGTAATGGTCTCAGCCAGCATACTTTGAAATTCTTGCCCTAAAGTTCATTTCTGAGCCTTTCACTTTCTACAGAAGGCTCCTCTAAACTCATCCTTTCAAAAGTGCTTCTCTTATCTGTGTAACAACTAGTTCAGTTATCTGCTATCTTCAAAGAAAAGCTCCTTGGGGTGTTTATTTTATTGAAGGTCCTCTAAAAACATAAACTGTTTAGCTTTGGGTAGAATGAATGTTCCATTTGCGAGTCTTGTGAAAAAAGCAGGGGAATAAGACGAATTGGGTACATAGCACTTTCAAATAGATGTTAAAGTCAAGGTGGATCAAGTGGCCTTCGTCTGCACTACACTGGAGAACTCTCTTTGAAGTTGCTAGTTTGACCAATCCCTATTGATACTTTTCATGAGACAACATTAATTTGCATTTAATCAGACACTTAGCTTCTTCAAATCAAGTTTACATGTGGTTAGAAGAGGAAATGAATAAACCAATTAAGATAACTCTATGAAGGAACTTAAAATGAAATACATGTTCATTCTGAATCAATATTGCTAATCTACAAGATCATCCAAGGCATGATAGGGCATGATACCAACTTGCCAGCGTGCTTTCAAGAAACATACTTTCAAACAGAGACATCTTTTTGGGTAATCAGCTGTCTGTTCTTGGATATTTCAAAAGGGTCCCAAAAAAACTCCTAAAAATTCACATTGTCTCTGGGGTAGTGTTTTTACCCATTTGAAGTCAATTGGCAAAACACCCAACTCACGTCTTGTGAAATTTACCCATACAAAAACACATAGCTTATAAGAACAGAACCATTTCTATATTTCTTCTCTTGTAAAATCAAACTTGTGGTTTGCCTTATAAGCTCCCTTGGTAATCTACCTGCAGGTGACCATGCTGACTAATAACTTAAATTGTAATTAGCTTTCATATTAGCAACTGCCTAACTTTGGAAGGATGTTTTGGTAAAATGCTGTACTACTCACTTATATTACCTATTTAAATTCTCAATAGATGCACATGTTCCAAAACCAGTACTGAAAGGATTAAAAATGACTCAACTGTCAAGAAGAATGTACAATTTTTTTGCACTGCAGAGATAGGTATGCAATTTCATATCAAAGACAAGAGCGTATCAAAGTGCAGCCCATCACAAAGTCTTCAATATGAATTTAACTACGTGGGTGTTTGGTATTAGAAAATGAAGTAATACATTACATTCAGGTTATTTTTTAAACTGCAATCTACATCTTTACTTTACTGGTCGAAGATCCAATCAAGAGTCAACTTTATGGAGGTTGGCATCCAAAGACATATCAAATTATTGAATCAACTGTGGAATATGCAATTTACTGATACTGGAATGCGTTTATATATACATACATATATATTTTGTATACTATATATGTATATCACACACCAACTGCTGCTTAGGTGTTTACTGCAGAACGTTAGCAGAAATGGCATGACATTCAAATCTTCTGCACTCTATTTTTAATCTTTTGTATGTATATCTATATATCTGTACACACATATATAGATATATATATATTTATATATCTATAGATATAGATGAAAGAATACTACAGTGTTCACAGGTTTGAGTTTAAGACACAATTAACAAAAACAACCAAAAAGCACTTGCAACACAAACACATTCACATTATCTGAAGCTTCAATTCCCGTTATGTTAATATTCATGGTTGTGGCTAGTATCTCAATGTTGAATATTGCCTACAGAAGAAAGACACTGCCATGCTTTATTAATTATATGTCTGCTGATTTCTGGTACCTCTGCTCTGGCAGCATCATCATGTTGATTTCCTTTGGTTTATCACTTTGTTTAAACAGCGTTGCTTCAGCTGCCCACTGAATGGAATGGAGCCTCTGAAATGTTCTTGGGTTGATTGTAGTGTTGTGTATTGCTTTGCAATTTCAGGAGGATACCAAAGGGGCTGTGAACAGTATTTGTTATAAAAGATTAGAAAAGCCAAGGGAATTAAACATGGCAAACTGACATTGAAACTCATATGCCACAGGAGTTTCTGCATATAAAGGTAAAAGTGGAGCACAGTGGATGTGCATGACCTTAATCCAATAATCATTCTTTTCATGGAGTGAATTGACCAGTTCAATGTTTGTTGATTCACCAAGTCTCTCTTTTTTCCCCCCAAAAAAGGAGCTGCAGTATGTGTATTTACTTCCCCTGTACTTTTGCAAGTATGAGGTAGTTTGGGATCCTATTTTTAAAAAAAAAGCCTCAAAAGCGATCACGCAACTTGCTTTATGTTTTTTTCCGCTTCTGAATGGAAGGCCCTTTCCTGCCCGATTCTTCAGGTGATGCAGACAGCTTGCTTGAAGAAGCCTCATGCGGTGACTTGCCAGAGTGTTCCGTCTCTGGTTTTCCCTCCTGATAATGAGGCAAAGCTGGGTAGCCTTGGGCCCCTCCTGTTTCTCTAGGGAAAGCAGCATACGCAGAAGTGGAAGGTTGAGGATCTGCTTCATATCTTCCCTGAGGAATGAGGGGCTGTGTCGGAACAGTTTTGAGGGGGCAGTTAGCTACCATGTGCATGATGCTCTGGCAGTAATGGCACTTTTTTGGCTGAGGAGGTAGATTACATTCCTTAGCATGATGATCAAGGCCGCCACAGTTGTAGCATCTGCATTGAAATAAAAGGAGAGATATGGTAATCATTTACATCTCGATGCATAGGTACAATGATGACATGAGACCACTTGAACAACATAATGGAAAATGGGTATTTTACTTACACTATAATAAAACTTATAAAACTGTGATGAATCCACAAGAAGTTTTAACTGGCCAAACCAAAATTAGAAACTCAGCACATTAGGACATCTGGAAGTAGGGTAATTAGGCAATTGGCAACTTACAAAATGATAAAACTCACATTGTCACAACATAGATTAATTCATTCAATGATCATTTCAGAAGAGACTGTACAGTTCACAATTGTAAGATACATGGTAGAATGTGGATAAGAGGGGATTCAGTTAGCCCAGTTTACTACAGATTAGAGTGTGGTGTAAAGTAAAGCCAAGAACACAGTTTCAGTCCCTGCACTGGCTAAGGTAGTTCACAGAGGCCTTGCTTCCTCACCTTACCCCATGCTTATGGAGTGGTCACCTTCAAGCTATACATAACTGATGGTCTCCTTGTAATGGGACGAGATGGTCCTTTGTGGACCCCTTACATGGTGGTAAAGTAAAAACACCAACGAGGAAATTCTTGATGAGCTGTCACTTTCAGAGCTTCCTACCCATTCAAATTGAAAACCAACCCACACTGAAGCCGATACCATACACCTGGGTGAAAGGTCAAAAAATACTCATTCTCTTCTGCTATGTTCATTTCTTTAGTGTATTTGCAGTTCTCATGGGGCACAGATTTGCTTTCAGCAGTAATACCTCAATTCAACAGTGGCAGGACACTCTTTGTCAGTCTGGCTTGTGAACTTGAAACTTTAATGTTTGATTCATCATAACATCTTCAGAAGACAAACTTGAACCAGGTGAAAATAACTTTGTATGCAAATAAAGATACATAGTTTTCATAGTATTTGGTTTTTGGGTTTTGATGTTCTCTAACAACCAGTTAGCCTCAATCTAAGACTTCTCAGTAATGATAGATTTAGTTACTTTTTAAATGGGCATGACACTGATTCGAATAAAGCTACAGTCACTTGATGAATTTGTGAAGATTTCCAAAACATGTTACAGTTATGGGTTATGGAATAGTCAATCTACAAATAAAGAGTGACTTAAGTCAAAGTGAGTAATTCCAGTGGGATGTAGATACAAGTATAGTTTTGTTAAAGAGGCAGAACTTGCAAAACTAACCGCAACCATGTATTTGCAAATGAAAGTATAATCTTAATATTTGAACCGTAAAGTGTAAATTAACATTTTCCCAGCTAAGTCGCGTTAGCATAAGCACAACTCAATTGAGTCTTTCACATCATGAAATATCCCAAGGTGTTTTGTCAGGGTTGAAATGGACACCGAACTGTAAGAGTGGACCCTTATCAAAGAGGTTCAGTTCCAAGGATAATTTTGAGGTAGATGAGACTTGGCAAACTGATGAAATTGACATAAAAATCCAGAGTGATCTTTCCGCTTTGCATGGGTAAGGAATAAGGAACACGAATAAGGGTGGATTAAAACAGATCAGATACGGAATGCTGAATTATAAGACTACAACAACATTGCAGCATTGATGTTCTAGGTGAAAGAAATTAAGTAAACAGCTGAAAGTGAACATCTATGTTGGGGATAAAGTGCAGTTTGAAGAGTTGGGAGCACAGGCGTAATCAATATAATAGTCTGTTCCTACTCTGTGTCATTGCATCAATTGACATTATCCAGTCATGCAAGTACCATGCACATACTTGAGCTGTATAGTGATGTTGTGAACCTGAAGAGTGCCCAATGAACATAAGGAGCAGTAATAGACCACTCATCCTTTCTAACCAGCTCTGACACTCAATAAGGTCATAGCTGAGCTGATTGTGTCCTTAACTCCTCAATTCTATCTACCTCAGATAACACTTGGATTATTGACTAACAAATGATGCATCAATTTCTGCCCTTAAATTATTGAAAAACCTCGCCTCCACTGCTCTTTGCAGAAGAGATTTCTAAAGACACTCAATCCTCTGAGAAAATAAATACAACGCATCTCCATTTTGAATGCGCAACTGTGTCCCCCAGCTCTGGTCTCCCCTCAAGGGGAAACATCCTTTCAGCATACACCCTTGTTAAGTCCTCTCATTCTCTTACATGTTTCAGTAAGCTCACCTCTAATTCTTCTCAACTCCAATGGACACAGGCCCAGCCTACCCAAACTTACCTTATAAGGATAACCTAAAACCCCAGGTATCAGTTGAGCAAAACCTCTCTGAATTGTTTCATTTACATCCTTGCTTAAATAAAGGGTCCAAAACTACACACATTCCTCCAGATGTAGCCTCACCATACTACAGAACTGTAGTAAAACATCCCATTAGAGATAGGTATTAAATACTCAGCCTGGCCAAAGATGCCCAGATCCCACGAGTGTCACACTGCATGGGAACAGACCTATTAGTCTAACCAGTCCACACTGACCATATTCCCAAACTAAACTAGTCTGACATGCCTGCATTTGGCCCATATCCCTCCAAACCGTTCCTATTCATATACTTATCCAAATGTCTTTTAAATGTTGTAATTGTACCTGCATCCTCCACTCACTCTGGCAGTTCGTTCCGCACACAAACCACTCTCCATGTAAAAAAGTTGCCCCTCATATCCTTTTTAAAACTTCCTCTTCTCACCTCTAAAAATATGCCCCTTGATTTGAACTTCCCCACCCTAGGGAAAAGACCTTTGCTACTCACCTTATCTATGCCCCTCATAATAACCCTGCTTTAAGATTCCATTTACCTTGGAATAAATGACAACAGTTCATCTGCACTCCTAACTATTTGTTTTGCCTGCATATTAACTCTTTGCCTGAAATTATTTGGATCTGATTTCGAACTATATCGCCATTCCTTCACTCTCTCTCTAGTAGCAATGTTGTTCTAGCTACACCACGTCAATTGAAGTGGTTCAAGAAAGCAGCCCTTCTCCAACGCAACTAGGGACAGGCAATAAGTCTGACCAAGTCAGCAATGCTCACATCCTGTCAGAGAATAAAGGTACACACTCATGTGTCAATGCATGGAGATCCCTCCATAGCTCAGAGTTTTATATACCCACCCCCATTTAAATAATACATTGATTTTTCTTTATTCTTCTGGCCAAGATGAACATATTCACTATTCCCACACTATACTCCACCTGCTAGATCTTTGTCTACACACTTCGCCACGTTATATCCCAGTGAGTTTCATGGTGCTGTATTACGCTGCTGTCCCACTGGCACTCGTGCAAATGCCTTCCTAAACTGCATAAGCTTTTCTCCCTCTTAGACAGCTCATACCCTCCCTTCTCTTATGCAGGTGTTCATGCCACCCAGCAAACGACCTCAAAGAGGCCAGTACCAGAGACACTCAACACCGCCTTCACCCGTGCGGAGCAAGCACTGAAACTTCAGAGGATGAGCTAGGCTTTCAGCTGCGCCCTTCACCAGCTCATAGACTTCCACCTCGCTAAGTACTCCACCTGGATTTGACTCGGGAGAACATTTTGGTGAGCACAACACTGACATGTCTTTGCAACTGGTTGAGGAAGGAATGCCTTAGGCTGCTGGCACTCAAGAAGAGAGTCTGAGACCAGGCACTTGCTTAGTCTCAGTCAGATGACAATCCCATGATCTCCGCCACCAATAACTGTGCTGAAGTGTACAGATACGTATAAGAGTAGCAGGCAGCTTTGTCTGGGACTCAGTAAGCTGGATCAAAGGATGAAGGATTGTCATCAGCACCATGCTGGCTGCAGTATGTCATGTATGGACAGGTTAGTGACTTCCATGGAGATGCAGGCCAAGTGTTTTCAGGATGTGCACACCACCCTGTACCATTGCTGTGGCCATTGGTGCTTAGTGTCAATGACAAGGACTCAGGAGGTTGATAAATCTTTATCTCAATTGAGGTGCTCCTTTCTCTAAGAGTGATATGGTGGTGCTAGCACGTTCCAATAAAGAGGGGGAGCCACTCACAAAATTCCTAGAAGCTTCCTGTCAGGATGCACCAGAGATGCTTGGCCCCTCCATCAACTCCCCTGCCCTGGCCTGTGATTGCAAAACCTGTAGAAGTTTAAGTTGGCGAGAGCAAACCGCATCTGCTCACTCACTGCAGGCCTAGGCTCTCTAGGCCCCAAGATACCAGAGGATGACCGCTCAAGTTTTTCAGGACAACAAGGCCAATCAAAGAGCAGTTCAAGTTTGGGAGGTGTACAACAGGCAATTCACACACCTTCTCTCCCTAAAAGGCACATTAGCCCGGTGAAAAAAGCTGAACAAAGTGCTGCATCTTACAAGTTCAAAACTGTCCTGGGGATCACTTCAACATTTCAGGGTAACTTAGCAGTCTACACACACTCTTCAAGCATTGCAGGGTGTCCAACGATGGAAAAATTGAAAAACATTTCCTCAAGGTTCCTCTTAACCTTCTGGCTATCATGAGAGACGTCAGTGCACAGTTGTTCGATATGATCTGCTGCTGTAAGCCTTAAGAGCTATCTAACCTCAGTGCCTTGTAATTTTACTGAACTATTTCACTGACTGCTGCTTTTTCTCTAACCATCAGTGCGACATGTAATGTGTAAGTGGAATCACACAAAGATATCAAGAATATATCAAATGGAAGGGCTCTTGTGGTGCATTGGTAATGTCTCTACCTCTGGACCAGAAAGCCTGTGTTCAAATCTCCCCTGCTCGAGGAGTGTGTTATTAACATACCTGAGCAGGTTGGTTAAGAAATATTTTAGGGTGTTCTTGTTGGGCAGCGTCCCTTCCTCTGAGCCAGCAGACATAGGTTCAAGTCCCACCTGCTCTAAATGTGTGTAATAACACCTTTGGAGAGGTTAATTGGAAAATATCCATAGTCAGGTGGATAATGAGTCATTTATTCAGCAGTACTGAAGGTCAAGGACTGCAAACGTTTGCACATATGGTTTGCCTACCAGTTAACCAACAGAAAGTTACAAAATGAAA